CTTTTGTAGCAAGCAGCAAAATAATTGTAAAATGACGTGTTTGAGTTAATTTGCCTACTTAATATCGCAAGTCCTAAAAAAATAAAATAAAATAAAAACGCACGTCCACGCGATGTGAATATCGCGCAGGCGCATATCGCGCAGCCCTAATCTGTCTACGTGTCATTTTCTACCGTTTTTTTTAGACACTATGCTTCGCTTTATCCCCTGAATACTTGCATTGATATCTTGATCGCTTTGCTACATTGCTCTGATTTCATCACGAAAGGATTGAAAGATTTTCTGTTGTTGTTTCTGTTGTTGTTCTAACTTCCACTCCTCCATTGCTACAGGCGTTTCGAGCCAGAGACGAGGCCCAGCACCATTTCTCCCAGAGCCTCATCGACAAGGACAAATATCGTAAACAGATCAGAGAGCTGGAGGAGAGGAGCGACGAACTCCAGATCGAGATCGTACGCAAAGAAGCCCGTCTGGTCACTCTGGAGTCTCGCCTACGACGGCTGGCCAAGGACATCGTTTTGGACCAGGTGAGACACGGTGGAGAATAATAAATGCATCACTGGAACTTGCAATATTTCCGTTTTGTGAATATTTCAATGCCATTTTTTATTTCTTTTTGCAGAGTCTGCCGAGGGACATGCCTCCGACCATTATTTCTCAGGCGGGGGATTATAAACCCAGCCAATCAGAGTGGTCGAGCGATGAATCCCATGAGGGGAAGTTTCAATTGGAGGAGCCTCGTCTGAAACGCAGACCCAACCTAAAAGCAGTCAGTCACTACACATTATTCACACCTTACTTCTTTCAAAAAAATGTATTGGACATTATAGCAGACACCATTGCCTGTTTTGAGCCACCTACTTCAGACACAGCTAAGTGGTAACGATGTTCTTACTTATGACCAAAACACACATTTAGCTACTAACTCGCTTACTGTTTCACATTTTAATCGTAGATATTCCCTTTATTATGATATCAAACAGAGAAAAGCAGGATATCCCCTCCTGCCATTTAATGCATAAAATAAATACCTTAGCAGATTATAAAAAATAATAAAGACCTATCATTTTTCTGCGGATAATTTCATCAAAAGGTTGCCTAATCGTTTCAGCTCTAGCTTGTAAACAGATGATATCGTTATATTTTTAAGAAGCGTACTTTTTTTTAACATTAGCTTTCATGTTTTCTTTATATTTTAGAACAGAGTAAAGTCTCCAGTCTGTTTTCACAGAGAAGTCAACTATGAGAACTCTCAATCTGCAGGTAACACATGATCCTAAAATTCATTCATAAATGTGTTTCTACTCCACCATAACAGTAACGTTTGTTTACGCAAGTTTATTTAAATTTCTCTCCACCTTTCAGCTCTGTTAGCCAACGGAGGAGATTTCCTGGATATCCAGATACGAAACTATAACTCAAACAGCGTGTCCCTCCCTGCGTCCCCCTCGTATCCTCCCTTCTTAGCCGCCTCCCTCTCCTGCTCCCCGTCCCCCTCTCCTGTCACCGTCAGTATGGACCAGTTCAACAGACCAAACATGGTGAGCTTTGCAGACATCACTATAGTCCTATATCATAGGTTAAAGAGGGCCTATTATACTATTTGGGGGTTTTCCTTTTCCTATAGTGTGTTATATAGGTTTTTTGTGCAAGTAAATATTCTGCAAAGGTCCTGAAACGCCTCCATTGGACTCCTTGGTTTTCTCCCGTAACCCAATGACATCCCTATCTGTCACTTGCGCTTCTATTGGCTAGCGCTCCAACACATTGTACGTGATAGATTAAGGGGCGGGACATCTCTAAGTGGTTGACCAATGACAACAGAGCCGGCCAGCTAACCAATCAGAGCAGACTGGGCTCTGGTTTCAGACAGAGGGTGAAAAGAAATGCTGCAGCACAGGCAGTATGAGAGAAATAAAGAGCTTGTTGAACATTAAAGCATGGAGACATGTCCCAGTAGAGACACTACATACTAATATGAACCTGAAAATGAGTGTAATAGAACTTTTTCAAAGTCCATTTGACTTCTCAGTCTCAGATTGGATTTTCTGCTTTGTTCACTTGTTAAATCTCCAGCAGCGTTACCGCAACCAGAGCATCCAGTCCACGCTGCCTGAGCCTCCGGAGAAAGCATCGCTCTATCGCCGAGAGAGGGAGAAGGAAAACGACTTCAACCCCCGCAGGTAGCCACACAGGATCATCTGCTAATCTATGCTGTTTAATAAATATAGATACTTATGTGCAACTCTTATTTCATCCTTTTTATAAATCTGTGCTGGTTTGTACTTCATTTCCTGTTATGAATGGCTTCAAATATACTGATGCTTGTTCTCTTTTAGCCTCTCGGACTTTGATAGTGACACCATGGAGTTTGGTAAAGAATACTTTTAAACATTACCCAATATCACACTAATGACATTTATGTACTGAGTGACAGTTTTGTATTAACTTTCTGTCTCTCCATCCCTTCCTTAGAGGACGAAGCACCGTCTGTCCACTCGTCTTCCTCGTCCCATCAGTCAGAAGGGATGGACTCGTACGACCTGGAGCAGGTCAACACCATATTCAGGAAACTCTCTCTGGAGCGGTACAGTACAAACAATCATACAGTTATACATGTATTCAACTACTCACACCATCTTCTCCTTTGTTCTTTGTGTTCTTGTTGTTCTCCTTCTTCATCATGTTCTTCTTCTTCTTCATCTTCTTCCAGGCCGTTTCGTCCGTCTCTCTCTTCCTTCTCGAGGATCAGTGGCTCTCTGAAGCCGGTGCAGGAGTTATCTCTACCCGGCGACAACCTGCTGAAGGACATCATTTTGGTCGGTGGAAACGACAGCGGGATATTCATCTCACATGTCCAGTCGGACTCCATCGCGGAGAAGGCGGGGCTCCGGGAGGGCCACCACATCCTGATGGTACGTAGATTACTCCTGCCTTCAAAGATTCAAAGGTTTTATTCTCATATGCACAAAGCTACAGTGTAGCAATGGCAATGAAATTTTTTCTGAACTGAGCTCCTCAACAATGCAACATATATAATAAAATACAAAAATAAAAAGTAGTGCAAAAAGTCTATATACATGTCAATAGAATATGGGATATGTACAAGAACAGAATATGAAGTTAAATAATGTAAAT